GAAGCTGCGGGGTGGGGAGGGCGAAGTCTCGGATTCCCCGGGCGGGACCTGGGGTCGGCCGGCGGGCTGGGCGGGGAGAGGCTGCCGGGGCCGCCGCGGGGTGGGGTCTGAGTGGACGAGGAGGGGCGAGTGGGCTCGGGGTGGTAACCCGCGGAAGCTCCGGACTGCCAGGGGCGGAGTTAGACGTTGAGGGTGGGGAAGCCTTGGGAAACAGCTGGCGCCGGGGTGGGGGGCCGGGGGTTGGTGACGGGTGGGGGACGGGGCCCTCCCCAGCGGCCCTTTTCCACCCCCTTCAGCGACAGAGTAGGTGGGGGTAGATAAACTTTGGGATGAAGTAAAGGGAAGAGTTCCGTATGCTTTGGAGTAAAGTTTGGTGGGGTTAAATTTAGGGGAGAGATTGCTTAGAAGGTCAAGATCTTCACTTCTGGAGAGGGTTTGCAAGAACTGGGGGCGCTTAGAGACGTCGAACTCAGGGGACACGAAGTTAGGACTCGAGATTTGGGAAGGAGCCCATGGCAGTCTGCCCAGGGTGAAGGGCCCAGGACTGGGAGCGTTGGGGCGGGGTCGGGTCGGGTGCCCCCCTCATGGGTTCTTTGTGCCTCTCCAGCTCCGTAGAGCAGCGGGCAAGGCAGGTGCCATGGCCCTGATCGAAGGGGTGGGTGATGAGGTGACTGTCCTTTTTGCGGTGCTTGCCTGCCTTCTGGTGCTGGCTCTGGCCTGGGTCTCAACGCACACCACGGAGGGCACCCACCTGCTGCCCCAGCCATCAGGGACCCCAACACCAGCACAGCACAGCGAAGCCATGGCAGTCAGCGACAGCATCAGAGGAGAGGCCCCAGGAGCTGAGACCCCCAGTCTGAGACACAGAGGTCAGGCAGCACAGCCTGAGCCTGGCATGGGGCCCCCAGCAATGCCACCGTCACCTCCGGACTCCCCCCAAGAGCCCCTAGTCCTGCGGTTGAAGTTCCTCAATGATTCAGAGCAGGTGGCCAGGGCTTGGCCACACGACACCATTGGCTCCCTTAAAAGGTAAGCTGGGCCGGGGCTGGAGGTGCTTGCTGATGGGGTGGGAGTGAAGACCTGGAAGGGGCCGGTGCAGATGTGAGACCCCCCCCACTTTATAGATGAGCGAACTGAGGTCCCCGAATTGCACACTCGTTCCCCTTTGGCAGGTGGGGACCCCTTTGGAGGCTGTGAACTGGGTAGGGGCGACGGGGCGTTTCTGGGCCAGGGGCCAGGACTGCTGAGGCCTGCTCTCTTACCCAGGTCCCTCTCTCCTCAGGACCCAGTTTCCCGGCAGGGAGCAGCAGGTACGGCTCATCTACCAAGGGCAGCTGCTAGGAGACGACACCCAGACCCTGGGCAGCCTTCACCTCCCTCCCAACTGCGTTCTCCACTGCCACGTGTCCACGAGGGTCGGCCCCCCCCACGCCCCCTGCCCACCCGGGTCCGAGCCAAGCCCCTCGGGGCTGGAGATAGGCAGCCTCCTGCTGCCCCTGCTGCTGCTGCTGCTGCTGCTGCTCTGGTACTGCCAGATCCAGTACCGGCCCTTCTTCCCCTTGACGGCCACTCTGGGCCTGGCCGGCTTCACTCTGCTCCTCAGTCTTCTGGCCTTTGCCATGTACCGCCCGTAGTGCCTCCGCGAGCGCTCGAGGGTGTTGCCGTCCCCTCGGGACCTTGCTCCCCACACCACGGAGGGAGCTGCTGTCTGCCGGGGCCCGCCTCGCGCGCCCGCCTCTTCCCACTTCCCTGGAGCCCAGCCCTGCGCTGCAGAACGCCCCGGGGGCGGGCGGCGGGCGGCTCTGGGCCACCCACGCGGGCAGCCGGCCCTCCCGTGCCGCTGACTCTGGCTTCCTCAGGGCCGGGCAGCTGCTGTCGCTGCCTGGGCCCCGGGCAGGGCCGGGCCACGCCCCTGGGGCCGTCCTAGGGTCCGGCCTGGGCACTCTAGGCCCTAATTGCTCCTGGGTGGGTTTGCGGCCCCCACGAGCACCGAGGTCTCGTGAAGGGCGCAGGGAGGTTGGAGGGGTTCTCTGGAACGTGTGCAGATTAAAAAAACTGTGAAGCTTTCCCTCCGGACGCGTGTCTGCGTGTGTGGGCGCGGGCGGGGGCGGGGCCCGGGGCGTCAGGGCTCGCAGGGCCCGACGGGATCCACGTCTGTGCTGACCGAGAACTGGGCGGAGATTGGCGTCCGGGCGGCGATCCGGGGGCTGCTGGGAAGATGGCGGACTCGGCGGCCCGCCGATGAGGAGGCCGCGGGGGGAGCCCGGCCCCCGGGCCCCGAGACAGGCTGAGGGAGCGACCTACGCGGGGCCCGGGGAG